AAATTCATTAGTTTCTCAGATCTCTCTCTCCTCTCCTCTCTCCCCGCGTCTTCTACCTTTCTCCTCCCCTCTGTTTCGACCGACACCGACAAAACCCCCCAGCCACTGTCACGTCGGCCACCCAGCCACCGGACCGGTCAAGTTTTGACCGGCGTCTTCTCCCTTGCTCCTCTTCTTGTTGCTGCTGCTGTTGTTGGGCTCCCAAGTAAGAAAGTGTGTGAAGCCTGAGGAGCGGCTGTGAAAGCCATGGAAAAGGGAGCATTCGGCTCAGAGAGTTCTCCAAGGACAGCATTCGGCTCGTCCAGCGGTGCCACAAGCCTGATCGCAAGGTATTAAGCTATGATTTTGTTTCATTTCTTTTTCCTATGTGTATATTTTTTCAATTCTCGTAGTGAAAGATTCTTCCCCTTCCTCTCTCTTGTTTTTCTTTTTATAGTTTAGTGATTCTACATATATCTATTTCATTCTCTCTAGTCAATCTTGGTTTTTTAGATCTCCCCTGCTTCTGGAACCCAGATCCGTACCATTTGTGCTTGGTCTCCTGATCTGATGATGAATTAGCTGAAACTGAAAAACCACACTGGTTTTTGTTTAGCAAGTTGATATTTTGAGTGAAATATTAAATAATTGGGGAGAGAGAGAGAGAGAGAGAGAGAGAGAGAGAAACACTCGATTATATGGCAATGGCATCTCTACAACGACAAGTATTGCATTGGGATTCAATCTAAAAACTTGTTTGACTCATTTTCCATGTAAGTAACTCACAAACTTTCATTTCAGTTATCCCTTGAGCTTGTAAAATGTGCATGTCTTCTCAGCACTGTCTTTGTCTTCTTTAACTAAACAAAAAATATTTTATTGCTTGTCAAATGTGGAAGCTCATAGGAAAGTTATGAGAATGTTAAAGCTGAGGTTTTGAACTAAATTACTATTTGACTACTATAATTCTCCAGAGGGTTCAAGTCGAGGACTGAAAATCCTCAACTAGAAATAGATGCACAACTTTATAATTTGTTGTTGTCATGTTGACTCGTTTGGATGTTGAATAGGAATTTCATAAATTCTGCAAATCATGCACGAAATACACTCTATTTGTGACTTTTTTATGCCTGGCAGAGATACATTGGAGGTTTTGGCCCGTAATCTATAGGTTGTTGGTTATTGAGTTGTTAAGCTAGTGTTGATTTGATTCCCTTCTCTTTGTACTTGTGGAGTTTGCTGTCTAAATTATTTAGTTTGCAGCAATGCATATTTCAATTTTGTTTTGTTTCTAGCTATATTTTCAATTTCGTCCTGGAAACTTGAGATCATATTGCAGTTCTTAGGATAGAGATGCTTGTTGTTTATGACATAATCTTATTGCGTAGTGCTTCTTTTGGTTTTGTTGAGTTTCTAGCAAAAACTCCTCTACCCAAGTTCTAACATTGTGCTCATTTTTCTTTCTTGCAGTTGCTCAGGACTTCTTAGATTATAGAGATTCGTCGTTTGAAGGCTTCTTAGTTTTATATGGTTTTTACGAGGCCTTCAACCTCACCAATTTGAAGAGTATAGGCTGCCCAGATGAGGAATTGGGTGGGCAAGAGAATATGGAAACTGCATTGCAGAAAATGGAAACTGCAATGCAGAAAACGGAATGTGCAATGCAAAAAACAGAAACATAAATAACCTATTTTACATTCTAGATGGTTTTCGGTCTGATTCCCTCTCTCCCAACATGTTTTGAATAAAAAAAACTATTGTTTTGTTTTGTTTAACTTTAGAGCTGAGCATTTTTGCCCAGGCTCAGCATCGCAGTTTCTGTTTATGCATCGCAGTTTCTGTTTCTGCATCGCAGTTTTTGTTGCAGTTTTTGTGTGAATGTGGTGAAATGATTTTTTTTAATTTTTAGAACCGTTGATCGTTTATATAAATATTGTTTAATTGAATAAATATTACAAAATCAAGTTTGGTGTAGTGGTTTGTGAGTGAGCCCTCTTCCTTTGAGGGTCAAGGTTCGAGTCCCTTTAATGACACAAAATCTTATTTTTTTTTAAAAAGTGAATAAGGGGAACGGAGTTGGTCCCATGCAGACGGTGGCAGGCCGGCGATGGGTGGTTGTTGGCTGGCAGCGCTGGAGTCCAGCGATGGTAGGTGGCCGACGGCGACAGGTGGCCGGAGGTGGCCGGCGGCTGGTCGGAGGCGGGCGGTGGCGGCTGGCCGGAGGTGGCAGGTGGCTGGCCGGCGGTGGTGGTTGGGTGGATGTGGACATGTGGCATAGTATGCTTGCCTTAGAAGGAGTGGCATTGTGTGTAATTTTGATATTTTTTAATGATATTTTTGTAAATTAGGTACCACATTTTGGTCTTTGGCTTTATGCTAATTAGATGAAATTGTATTTCTATCTTCCAAATTAGTAAACTATATTGTGGTTTAAAACTAAAGCTCCCTATAAAGTATGACAAAATAAAACATCTTATAATGTGGGAAAGAAAATTGATTTATTTTTATTTTTATTTTTTTTAAGAAGATAAAGCCACAAAAACTGAATAACAAAGAAAATAAACAGCACTCAACAAAGAGAAGACGAAGAAATAAGGGGCATAAATTGAAACAAGAAAATAAAAAGAACATAAAACACCAATGACTAAGCAAAGTATTATAACAAAACTCGCCCTTCGTATTGTTTACCAGTTTTTTTGTTGTACCTGTACTGGTTAGGTAAAGTTCCTCATTGACCTAGAGACCATTCGTGGTCAATAAGTCAACTTTCTTTTATGTTTGAGCGTGCCACTATTAGCGGTTAAAAACCCTAACATACTTGAAAGATGTAATAACTTGTGCCCCAAGCTATTGATTTTTAACAAATGATTGTGAATTCGGGTAAGGAATATCTCCCAAGTAAGTTCTTTTTCTGCCTCAAACGGGTGAGGACTTTATAATTTATCTCAATAAAAACTGGGAAGTAAAGCAAAATACACGTATTTGAAAAATGAAACAAACAAGTTCAAGGAGAACTGCTTGAATTGTAAAGCTTAATAAGGATTGCCAATTCTTGAGAGGTCTCAAAGATTTGGACTTTCATTTCCTGTAGGAATCACCTTGCAGAATTGACTTATGATCAGGCTGGACTGGACTTCTTGTGGCTGGAGTGAATCTACTTGCACTAGAATTGCACGTCAGTATACCGTCAACAAATGAAAATTAGTTGGAAATCGATACAAATTATTGTATTGGTAGAGCTATAATCAGTTTAAGCCATGGAGAGGCTTGGAAAGTGAGCGGAACTGCGAGTTTGCACTTGTTCTACTTGATGTGGAAACTATCTGCATTAGATTAAGACAACATGATGTCTTTGAGTAATTTGTTGAGGTTTTCATATACTAAAACACATGAGTTCTTCCTGCTTCAACTTACTGAACCAAATTTGTAAGAGAAATTAATCTCTTTGAGTTCTGCTTGATTCGTCTGTTCTTAACCGCATTTGCAACAAGAGAAACCTCGTTTTCTTCTTAATTGTCTGAGCTTCTTCTGAGCTGGACTGATTCTATGAGCTTGATTTCTTGTGCTTCTTCTAAGCTAGACTGCTTTTGTAAGCTTGATTGCTTGTGCTTCTTCTGAGCTGGATTGCTTTTGTAAGCTTGATTGTTGGTGCTTCTTCTGAGCTGGATTGCTTCAAAGAAAAGATTGTTTGCTTGCTTTTGGGCTTGAAGGTTTTGAAGATCATATGATCTTTGGTGTTTATTAGTTTGACTGATTGTGTTTGATTTAGAGATTGATTTGGGAGTTTGGTTGTTTGTTTGATTGTTTTGTTGTGTTTTTAGTTCAAGTGCTCTTATATTTATAAGAGAATGTATCATGATGCCTCGTGGATATTTGAAGAATAACAACTGGAGAGTATTACTCCACTGATCACTAACAGATAAGTGATTAGGAAGTAATAATTCTCTTGGTTTGGACTAATCTTCTTCAATGCCAAAAGTAACAAAGATCAGCCGCCAACTATGGTGATCAGTTTGGGCTCTTTGTCAATTAATTTCCCCTACATGCCTCATGTCCGTTCTTTGTAAATTGGATTGTAGTGAACCAAGGATCAATAACCATACTTCTTTATCTTTGAATACATGATTATCCTACTAATGAAACCACATAGGTGTCAATAGAAGCAACACAACCTATATTTTGGAAGCAAATAACTATGGCTTTTTACTAAAGCAAGTCTGACTTCACCTTTCTAACTTCAAGCTTACTAATTTGATTTTGAGCTAGTCACCAACGTAGTGATTAATTCCCATTAAATCAATTAATTTTGAGTCTTGGGATTAAATCACCATTGGTGGTAATTAATTTCCAATTTGTCAAAATAACTTTGGGTAATTGATTTAATTTTACCCCACCCATTTTTGAATAGTATGGGCTATTCTCCATTTTTTGCAAATAAAGCTCATACACTGTTTGTAGAGAAAACCCGATAGTCAATTAGGTTGGCGCACAAAATCTAGGCCCAAACAACGCCACCTAAGTCTGAATTGTTTTGTTAAAAACGGTTTTCAGACTTAATGATAAACCCATTTAATGATGCGTGTCATTTTGTTCCGTTGCTTTAGCCCACGTCTATTCATTGATTGGATGTTTTGGGAAAGTGGGGATTAACGGCTAGTTAATTATGGGCAAATCTTCTCCTCACACAATCTCATTCCTTAAGATTATAAAACTGATTTCTTCACTGTTTGAAGAAATCATCAAACCTAACTTCTTTAAACTCTCGATTAATCCCAAAATTTCTCGACTTTCTTGAAAATTTTCGAACCTCTCCTCAATTCTGCCTGAAAATTTACGATGACCTCCCCAAAGACTCGTGTTGGAAGCTCTTCTTCTTCATTCCCTCCTCCTTATATCCCAGGCGAAGGTGTAGACAAACATGCTATTGAGATTAGAAGCAAGCTTCATCCATATTCTAAGAAGAATTTGGGTGAAAATATCCTTAATTTACTTGGAAATGCTCTCGTTTGGGGTCTTGTCTGGTTTGGGAAAGTTCATGAGGATATGGCCAAGCTTTTTAAGGAAGATGTCGAAGTTCCACTCTGCTATCGTAATCCTTCTCTAACATTTCATTCCTAGGTCAATAAGAACTTGAGCTGATCATACCCTTCCAGTGAACTGAGGAATAGCTCTGTGAAGTGGTCAAACTGGATTGACCAACTCTCTCCAAGGTATGAAAGCCACCGGAAGAAAACTGGTATTTATGACGCTTTAATTATGTCAAAGCACTCAATTAATAGAGATGAAAACCTAATAGCTGTTGCTATGAGTTTTTGGAATTCTTTTATAAATACTTTCGACTTCCGTGTTGGTCCTAATGTCTCCAACCCTACTGAATATGGCTCAAATATTTGGCTTCAGGCCACATGGAAGACCAATTGAGGCACTTGGGGATTATCACAGAAGAAAGAATGGTGAAAGAGTAGCTAAGAAGTTTAAGCATTCCTACTGGAGATATCAACCAAAACTGCTCCTTTTCCAATTATTTGAAGAAGTTCAGTAATGAGAAGGATAAAGATCAACAACACATGTTGTTCATGTTGTATTTGCTAAACAAGTTTGTCTTTCCAAACTGATCTTCAGCAGTTCTGCTTGAGTATAGGCACCTAGCAGAGGCACTGCACAATCACATAGATGTTGGTCTTGGACCAACAGTTTTGGTCCACCTATACAAGAATTTGCATAGTGTCACTATGGACAATCCTCTGAATATTGGAGCCCCTGGAGCATTCTGGATGACACAGATTTGGCTGCAAGTGTATTTTCAAGAATTGAGGTTTCCAGATGTAGTTCTGCCTGAAGATCAAGTGATGGCTCTTCATCTCATGTCAGCAGAAGTGCCAAAACGATCCATTGAAGAATATCTGATTTTCATTGGCTATTTCCGTGGAATCTAGATTCTCAATTTCTTCTCCGGGATGGTCTGCCAAGAAATCTGCTACAACTTGACCTTTGATGGCTTTCTGAGGAACATAATGAAAATCAAATTTTGACAGAGCCAGAGTCCACTTGCCAATTTTGCCTCTCAACATTGGTCTTGTCAACATGTATTTGATCAAGTTTGTCTTGGCAAATATATAGATGGTGAAAGGTAGCATATAATGTCTGAGCTTAACATCAGTAAAGTATAAAGCTAGAATAACCTTTCAATTGCAGAACATCTTCTTTAAACTTCAGTTAGAGTTATGCTCAGATAACAAACTATATGCTCCTTCCCTTCCTTGTTATCTTGAACTAAAAGACTTCCAATAGACACTTCTGAAGACGAAATGTATAATTTGAGTGGCATGCCTTTCTTTGGTGGGGACAGAACTGGGGAATTTGATAGATAATGTTTGATCTCATCAAAAGCCTTTTGATGATGTTCTTCCCACTTGAAAACCTGTTCCTATTTCAATTTTAACAAGGATGAAAAAGGATGGATCTTCCCTGCAGAATTAGATATAAATCTCCTAAGAAAGTTGATTTTTCCAAGGAGACTTTTTAGTTCCTTCTTGTTTCGAGGTGGCAAAGCTTTAATACCTCTTTGATGAACTAAGAAACCTAGAAAATTCCATGCTCGAACCCCAAAGACACACTTCTTGGGATTCATCTTTAATTTGTGCTACCTTATTCATAGAAAAGCTTTCTTTAAATCAGCCACATGATTTGGTCTTTCTAGGGATTTGATCACCACATCATCAATATATACTTCTAAGAAATCGAATATAGAATTCATGACTCTTTGATAGGTAGC